ACTCAAGACAATGGAAAATTTGTAATGATGGATGTTGTCGGTGATTAGATCTCAAGGTTAGAGGTGGCGCTGAGAGGGAGGGATGGAGCAAAAGTGGAAAATTTAAATAATCTTTGAAAGGCTAAGTAAACGAGGAAGCGAATAAGCGCTAGGGAAAATTATTATCTTGGCTATTTATTTATATTTAAAAATTTAAATGTTTAAATTTTAAAGAATTCCTTTTACAAATTACTGAAAAAATTATAAATACCATATTCCAATTTAATTAAAAAGTATGTACCATCAAGTATTTCTTGTTTTTTCCACCAAAATCCCTAAAATCTTTTACTAAAGAGAAAACCACTCATCTTTCAACTTAATCTTAAGCTGCAAATGGAGGTGCTTCTGCTGCAGCTCTTTACTTTAATAAAATCTCCGCTTTCCGTCTATAAAATGCACTAAGAATTGTTTGTGTTTGGAATTGAATTTCCGAGCCAAACTCAAAACACAAGCAGTCTCGACAGATTCAGGTACAATGGCTGGCCGTCAAAGATTTAGATAGAAGAGGAGTCACCCATCGCTCCAGAGAAGGTGTCGTGTTTGCTGGGTCTTTTGTGTTTGTGTCTCATATTTAAAGCTTAGCTGCCTCCCCCTGGTTACCCAAACCCTTGGCAACTCCAACCCCTGGCAGGCCCAACCCAACCCTCTTTGTGGACGCTACTCATCTGTCAACGAGAATCCAGAACGAGCCAACAAGACTCAAATGTGTGTGCATTAAATGTCAATAACCATAACTTAATTCATTTGGACTTTCATTTGGTTTGCGGCTTGGGTTCTCTGCCTGTGGATTTGTGTGTCTTCTGCTTTCTGGCATTGGTTTGTCTTTCACATCGTTCATTGTCATTGTTTGCTTTTGAAACAAAGGTCAACTGACACCCCGCTGTAAATCCGCCCGATAGGGAGAGCTCGAGGTATCGGGGCTCTGAAATCGAATAGGTCTGGCTGGCGGCCAGTGGCCGATGGCTACTGCAAAAATATTGACTCAACTGCTGCATTTTTGCAGGGGCGGTAGGGCGAAGGCGCATCATAAATCACAATGACGACCTGACTGGCCTGTTGGTGTCCCAATATTGGTTTAGGTCTCCTGGGGGAAACAGTTTAAGCTAATTGTCAGGCAGAAGAGATCTAAGGTTCACAGGAAGGAAGTTTTTGAGTGAAAGACAATTCTTGAATTGAAAAAATTACAGTTCAAAGAAAATATATTAAATAAAAACAAACAGTATATTTCTTAGTCTAGCTGAAAACTCACACTTTTCTTCCTTAAATTTAAAAATGTAAAATTAGAATACCCATCTTTAAGGCCATCAAAGGCTGCTGAGCTCGCGTTTTATTACCCTCTAACCCTGTGTGTGACCATAAAGTTTGAGCTCACTCCCAGAAACTTTCCACATTCTCCCCTTGTCCCCTCCCTAGGCCATCATCAGGTAAATGGAAATGGAATACGTCTCGCATCGAAATTCTTTGGGGATTTTGGCCTCAGCTCTCTGGGTCTGAAACTATCTCTCCGACCAATAAAAACGAGACCATATTCGGCTCGCAAAAAAATGAAATACCACAGGTGACTGACGCATGCCCCACACACGGCACACACTTTTATGCATTCAGCCATAATTTACATATTTTTTAGCCAGCGAAAAGTGGAAATAAGAAGGAGCAAAAAGCTTGTGGCCGATAACAAAAAAGAGCAGTGAGCAACCCAAAAGTAAACAGAAGTTTTTATTTTATATTTTTTAACGAGAAGGAAGGGGATGCAACCCATGGAGGTTTGTTTGAAATTGAAAACGGCGTTGATTATAATGTCAATACTCATAAAAACAACAGAAATACTCGTACAAAAAAAAGTGGTTCGCTAAAAAATGTATAACTCTAAACTTGTGACACAACGAAAAGTACAAAAAATGAGAGATATACATACATATATTGGGGTCCGCTTCTCCTCCTCTTGGGTGCGGTCCAAAACATTTGGCTCGTTTTTACCTTTTACCCCTTTTATTGTTTTTGTGTCCGCCGTGGCATTTTTTTATTTTTGCGGTCAGTATATTTGTGTATTGCTGTTTTATTGGCATGTCTCTTTGGGGCTAAAAAATCAAAATGTATGTTTCATGTTCTCCATTGGCTCATTGGCACTTTCATGGGCATTACTAATGGCGAAAAGGTGAGGGTATATCTCTGGGTCTTGGCGATTAACTTGTTGGGCTAATGGGCCCCGTTGCTCATTAAGAGTAAATACTGTGAATTAATCTAATGTACCTCCATATTATTCAATTTAAATTATAGTAGGACTCTTGAAATTAATTGGTTTAGTTTAGTTTTTAATATCATTTAAATTTATTGTATTTTAAATGTGAAAAGTAAGGTATTAAACAAGTTTATAGAAACACAAAGCAAAGACAGAATCATTCATTAGAACAGAAAAGCTGTTCTAGTTTTTATTTTTAAATATCAAAATAGAATTTGTATGCTATTTATAATTTACCTTACACAAAATTGATTATTTCTCTTTGAAATATATTATCTTTGTTATTATCCAACTCAAATTATGTTCTATACCTTTTTGGGACTTAAAATATTTATTGTAAATATTAGTAGACATACTATTTATTTCATTATTAATCCAAACATTATATTATAATTCTTAAAAATTTATTGATTATTAGAATCTTGTTTTCAAAGAGTATTTCAAACATCGCTTTGTCTCTAACACACAATTGATATCTTGTTGCTGGCTTGTCCTTTGGCTACCTGCTCTGATCCGCTTCCTCCCCTTATGCCTGGGGATTGCTCTCGGTCGCCATCGGGGCGATGTCACCCCTCGGACTTTAATGCGCTTTGGCATGCTTTTAGGCAATAATTCATGGATTAACGCCATTTGGCTTAAGCTCATTTCTTTGGCTCTGCTTTTAGCGCAGAGTTTTTGATATTTGAAGCCTCGCCCTCAGCTCCATCTTCACCTTTTCGGTGGTGCCATCACGGTCGACACTCGGGATTCGCATTCCTCGGACGTGACTAATAAACTTTTGTGTCCCGACTCTAATGATCTTGCTCAATTTTCGGCAAGAAACCGAAAATCGTGTGTAGCGATTTGTTGACCACAACAAATTGCATTCGCCCGCAGGCCCATAAATAACTTTTGCAAATGTCCCGGGAATCCTATATCCTACATCTATATATTTGTATGTATGTATGTATGTGGGTGTGTGCGTCCTTGTACCTGGTACCTGACTGAGTGACTGACTTCCAGGACTGACTGAGAGCACGTGCTAAGAGCAGGGATATCCATTAATCAATTCTGTAGACCGGAGGCGGTTTGGCCGCCTTGATTTATGCTAAGGAATATTATTTTTGATTTTTTTCTTATTTTTTGAATATATGTATATTCGAATGCACTCTGGTTGGCAAATAGTGTGGCCAACATCTTGTATCCCTTGGCCAGGCGTTAGATGGAATTCAATCGTTATGGAGAGCATCCTTAGCCTTGTCCCTTTTCGCTCACCCCCTTTATCCAACTTCCTTTAGCCATTTCTATTCCCAAGCGGCGAAACATTTTGCGCTTGCTTTGTTTCTGCCAAGGCATGCAAAATTTTTGGATAGCAAAAAGACGATGGAAACGATGGGGATGAAAAGATGAAGGATACAAGGGGTTGAAGGACCAAGAGAAGGAGCCGGATGTGGACCGAAGCAGCAACGAGGGACTAGCTCAAGTGTTGAAGTTTTAAACAATGTTGCCAATTTAAGTAGCCTGAAAAATATTTTAAACTTGCCCGCAGTTCCACGAAATTAAAAAAAAAGTAGGGCAAACTCAAGCAAAGTATTTTCTTATTTAGCTAAACTCGAATGAATTCTATAATAGTAAACGCCGGAACTTACCTGATAGCTTTCCGGAGATCCCTTAGAGTGCTTTTCCTCTAGGAAATGTGTATAAAATATCTTTACAAACTTATAAATGCCAGACGAGTCAAGGAAAACGCAACGGGATACCACCGTGAAAAAGGAAAACTCATTGAGTAGCAGCTGGCCATCATTGTTTGGGGAAATGGGAAATGCTGGCATGGAGCTCCACACTGGGTATATCTTGTGGGTGACTGACGTTTTCCCCGAGTGGAAAAAGCAGCCCCAACTTGCATAACTTCATCTGCTTCGTTCCGCCAACTTCCGTTGCGTGAATTTCCGGCCATGGCATCTCCATTGTTTCTGCTCCTACTGCTGCGTCCTCCGCTGCCACTTTCCATTTAGCTGAAAGTTGATTCGCATTCAGGGCATTTAATAAGCGCTTATTGTCCCATAAGCCCCATTGTTGGACGACCATAGTTATTTGTGTTGTTCGGTTAATACTTTCAGCGACTTTAATGGCCAGGAAAGAACAATAAGCCCCAGGCAAGTGGCAAACTTTTGCCAGAAAATTGGCAAAGACCAAGGAGAGAGCAACAGGATTTGCAGCTCAATTAGAAGAAATCACTTTTGGGAGTTTGTTAAAATATCGCGGTATGAATTAAAGGGAACCTATGAATTTCTGTAAGCAACAGATAATAAATGCTTTTTCTTAGCCTTTTCAGCTTGTTCTCTCCCCGCCTCTGCTGAATTTTCCATTCTCAATAAAGGGCTGAGTTTTGGGGCGTCGGCTTCTAATGCCATTTTGCGGCTTCTTTGGGCAATTAGATTGGGCATTTAGCCATGAAATTTGCCAACATATGGCTTCTATCTTGGCAAGAACAACAAGCGGCTAACATTAACAGCTCCTGTTACTGCCGTGGCGCACTGTTAATGGTTCCAAGTGCAACAGCAGCAGCAGCAGCACCAGAAATGTGGGGCTTGGCTTTGTGGGCTCTCTTTTGGGGCCCGCTGGCGCTCTCTCCCCCGCGTGAGAGCTTCGGCTGGCGCCTCGGCTAACTTCGGCTGTCGCTTCGGCAGTGTAACAGTGCGGATGAGTTCTTCAGTAGCCAACAGCACGCGGATGCTACGCTACGCTTCGGTTTTTCTTCGTCCGCAATAACCGCCGCCGCCGCCGCCGTGCTCGCTCTTAAGCGTCGAACTCGTATCTCTTCGCTCTGCGTTGCTGCTGCTGCTGCTGCGGCCGCTTCTGTTGCTGCTGCTGCTGCCTGCTGCTGCTGTTGGTGTTGGTTCGATTCTGATTTTGACTTCGCTCTGCAGCTGCGTTCGTGCGCTTTTCGAAAATAGTTACAAGATGTTCATCGGAGTGAGTGGAACGCCGCAGCGGTAGAACGAACGAACGAACGGTCTTTTAAGTGGACTCGGACTCTCTTGGCAGCCGAAGAAGCTCGCTTCCGAAATCGCAAGCAGAATTGAAATTCAATTCCAAGCACAATCTCGTGGATGCTTCGTTCTTCGTGGAAGTGGAAACAACAACAGCACAAAGCAACCAGCAACCAGCAACCAAATTAATCAAAGCAAAGTTCTTATCAAAATAAAATATAATTCCATTTGCGGAAAGAATCTTCCAAAAAAAGATTCGAAGAAAAAATTAAAAATTAAGAAAGAAAAAACACAGAGTACAAGACCAGTGAAACTAGAAGTGCATTCTGTTCTTCCTTCTCCTGAAGCCATTTGTTATTTATAAATTGCTGACCGCAGAATATCTTTACTGCTAAAAATAGACAGCAACAAACCACACACAAAAAACGCCGCAGAAACAGAAATAAACCGAAAAACCCAAAGGGTAAAAACTCGAAAGTGCCAAAACAAACAAGAATTTCTAAAGGAAAACAAAGGAAAAACCAAAACCAAAAGCGCAAAAAGTGCGTGTTCTTAAAATACACAACAATTAAAAATAAAAAACACCGCAACAAAGTAGCAACTGAGTATATCTATTTTTGCTTACTATTTTCTACAAAAAACTGCATTTTGAAAAGAGAGTTTAAAACAGGAATATAAAGTGTCAAAGTGAAGTGCGAAAACACGCAAAAATATATTTTGTAAATCTTCTCTGCCAAACATAAACAAATTAAGAGTTTGGAGAGTTCTCCAATTCTCATTTCCACTCGGATTCTGTGCATTTTATAAAGATTCTCGTTTTTTGGAATACATAACAACAAATAAATAAACACGCATACACAAAAAATACAAGAAGGCGAAATCCATTGGTTCCGCATTAAAGTGTTGAAATAAATTAAGTCTTGGATACTTCGTGAACTTTGCATTTTGGAATACTGCAGCAGCACCGCTCTTGGATAAACACTATACTTCTTATTATATTGCCGATCAATCTGGAACTTGGAGGGAAATAATTTCACAAAGGTCAGTAAACAACTTCTGTGTGTGTGATCTCCCCGCGTTCTGTTGAGTAATAAATAGATTGTGGCTCTGGCATAAAGAAATCCATTTATTGCCGTCACAAAATATTTGTATTATGCACACGTCATTAAGCATACGACAGGTTGGCCAATGTAAGAATCTGCTTGTGAGCCAGCAAATGGCCCTGAGGAAAGTGTAAACAAGTGTGTGTTGATCGAAAAAGAAGATAACAAGAAATACAAATTGAACATGAAATTTAAAAATACGTTTCAGTGGAATTTTTGAAAGAAAGATTGCATTTCTTAAAAAGAAGTGGATGTATGCATATTTTATTTAAACTCTACTCCCGTAAAATAACATTGTGGCTTATTAAAATTAAATTTAATTTAATAAATATAAATTTTATAAAAACACAAAATAATCTTAATTAACAAATACGTATTACAAAAATTAAATGATGCAAAATAGTCGATATTTTGAAAAATAGAATGGGAAATGAAATTAAAAAAAAATGAATCATAATAATAAATTTCTTAAAAAATAATACAATATTTTAATTCCACAACCAATCTTAGTTGGAAATTCTATGAATTGCAACTCCAAAAACCAAACCCTTGCCCTAAAATTCTGCCAACTGCTAAGTAATTTAATTGGAGTAAACATTACCAGCTGGGGTTAGGTAATTGAACAGACTTTCCGCGGAAAAAAAAAACAATTCCATTCCGCATCAAAAGCGGCGGCCACCAACACCTGGGCACAGGCTCGGGGGCAGCAAATTGAAAGATATATACAAAGAATAATACCCATTTGTGCCCATGGCCGAAGTAGTGCAAACAAAAGTGCCCAAGTGCATATCTCGTTACCAGACCAAGGATCATCGTCGTCAAAACAAAAGAGGAGAATTGCAAGAAAGAACAACAAATATGGGCAGAACAAGAACAAAAAAATGACGGGGAACTTTTCTCATTATCAACGCAAGTGTTTTTTGCACTCTCGCACTTTTTTATCCTCCTTCTCTGCCATTTTTCTCATTTCTTATAAGTAGAAGTGTCATTCGGTGGGGCCATGGATATGGTCAGTTTGAACACCGCTCCGTGCACACCGGAATCAACGTCATTCACAAAAAAAAAAAAGAAATTGTAAAACGCGCAGCCTGACAATTTTTACATCTGTCATAAATTTCCCTGCACTCGCACATAAATCTATTTTCTGCATTTTATTTGTTTATTTAAAAATTCTTTCGCTTGGCAGCGAGGAAGAACAAAAAGACGAAAGCGCCATAATTTGCAGCCTGATTGATGTGACAATTCTTTAATTAATTTTTGTTGGAACTGCGCTGTATATACTTATGTATGGCTGCCATTTAATTAGCAAATCTGTTTTTGGGTAGGTAATACATCAGCGTAAATGATGGGATGCGAGTGCAGCAGAGAAATGGGTTTATTCACACTCGAAGTGTCTATTATCTGGCTCGTTTACCTTCCCTCGATCAGGTAATTGAACCCTAGTCTTGTCCTGGCATGCCCTTCCTCCTCAGATATAGATCACTCTCTCTATATACTATATACTATTTTTATCGGTCTCGTGCTGTCACCTTTTCCCACGATTTGCCAATCAACCTTACGGAATGTCTCTGCCAACCAAGACATTTTGGTAATTATTTAGAGACGGCAGCACCCCGAAAAATGGAATAATGTAAATAATGTGAAGCGTTGATAAGGCCTGAGTATTATGTGCCTGACGTTGAGATCGGGTTCAGTGACTCGACTTTATCACTGCATTCGGTCACTGTTTGCTGAAACTTTTTGGCTCAACATTCTTCAGTCTTCAGTCTTCGTTCTTCTGGCCTCTTGTTTCTGTTCTACTGATAAGAATTGCTGAAGCTGAAGCGAAACGAAAACCGAAGCAAAGATAATTCTGCATTTTGGGTGCTTTACAAGAGATGGGGAATTCTGTACTTGGCAGTTTCTTTGATTTAAAATAATAAAATAAAAATGTAGAGGAGGTAATAAAGCTTCTAATTATAAACAAAATTCAGGAAAAAAGTAAAACTTACCTAAATCATTTGCGAAAGCAGTTACTTAAGTAAGCCCTTACAAACTCCATAAATTATTCAAGCGCTTGTTATAAAACAAAATAATTAAAAACAAATTTTCTTATCAAGTAAACCCGGCAAAGTATGCCACAAATCAAAGGAAATACAAAACGGTTTTAGCTATAAATATATAGTATATGTATACTATTGGCAAGAAACTATAACCGATGTAGAGATGCCACTCAAGGCATTTCCCAGTCATAATAAATATTGTTAAATATGCACAATGCATTATATTACATTTCCCCCCCACCCAATTAGCTTCGGCTGCTTGTGCAGTAAATAAGCCGCAGAAAGAAAAATATACAAGAAGGCAGAGGAGGAGAGAAAAACACAAGAGCGGCGGATGAAAAGCTGGCAATAGAAGAAAATACAAGCATTTTCTGCGCCGCGCCACATTTTGCAGGCAACGCACATAAATAAGCTTGTGGACCCAAGATGCCAAAAAGGCAACAGAATGGGCCGAATGCCGAATTGCGAATGCCGAAACTTGGTCGCATTGTTGCTGCCACTGCCGCTCACTGTTATGGTTGGCAAGTGGCCAAAAAGACATGGCCAAATGTGCGCCAGTTTTTAGCCATCATCATCCAAAAAGTCAGCCATACAGCCCAGCCAACCAGCCAACCAGCCTCCCATCCCAATTCTTCTCTCGGCCAATTTCTGTTGTCGGCCCGCTAATAAATAATTTTAATTGTATTGCTTTTATTTTTACTCTTTTACTAGGCTGCCCCACTTCTTTGGTAATAAAAAGATTTCCATTGTTGCACTAGTTGGCAGCGGGAAAATGGCCAGAAAACGTGATCAACAGCAAATTGAGTTTGCCTTTACAGCCTGGCCAATTTGCACAGTGTGAGTCTTATCAGGCTGCAGCGACAGCATTGAGGTTGGCCAGGTTCCTCCATTACTTTTTTTGTTGTTTTTTTTTTTTTGCACTCTTTTTGGCCGTGTCGTCTGGCGGCGGTGCCTCCTGCTGCAATCTTTGGTCGACAAATATGTCGAGTGCTTGACTTGGGCAAACTTTGTCACTGATAAGACTGTTGAACACACCCGATCAGGCCGCCTTCTTGCTCTTGCACCCACCCAGAAGCTCTTCAATTTTATGCTGATGCACTGAAAGGAATTATGATTGAAAACTATTCCTGTTGTTTTAAAACTAAGAGGGTAGGGTTTAAATACATATTAGCTTAGATTTTACATAATAAAATTAATGTAAAATTATGCATTATTGTATTTGTGAATTATTTCAAACCAAGTCTACATTTTTATATATATTTCTAACCTTTCCAAAACATTATTTTTTCTCTGTGCACCAAGAAGTACCATATTACCCATACGCCACGTTGCGCTGAAACTGAAATGAAACGAGACGAAAGTTGTCTTGGTTTTATTATTATGATGATGTTTTTTTTTTCTTTCTTTTTGGGGACTTGGTCACGTCTTCAATGCACTTTGCTACTTGATCGAGGGGGACAGGGGAACCCGTGGGGCTTTGGGCGGTGTGCAGTGACATTTATTGTTGCCTGTTATTGGTGTTGTTACTGCAGAATCGGTTGGTCCCTGCGCGAGTGTCTATATCTTTATATCTATACAGCCAATGCACAGGGTATCTACATGTGAGACACACCCACACACAGAGGGATGGAGGGGGGAAAGGGGCTCTGAGTTTTATAGGCGCTTTCAATACTGGGCCAAGGTAGTTTTTATCTTTTTTACTTTGCCATTTCATTGTTGATGTGATTGCTGCCTTTGTTGTTGCTACTGTTATTGCTGTTGTTGTTGCTAGCCCGTCTGGCAGCTTTTGCCGATTTTGTTGCCTCTTGTAATTGCAATCCTTGAACAATTTTTTGTTCTCTTTTCTTTTGCACATTTTATCTGTGTGCTGCGCCGGCCTGATGTCTTCTTAATTTTGCATTACTCAGCCGCTTAATTTGATTTATTTTTGCATCTGTCAGATGCAGAGATGGGAAATGCATTAATTTGAGGGATATTAAAGGAAATTTAAGTACTAAAATAATACAAAAATGGCTTATTTAAAACGCTTATCAAACATTTTTATTATGAATTTAATTTTCTGTATTTATTTTAGCATAATATAACTTTTAGTTTATACTTCTGTTTTTTTCATTTAATATTCCCTATTTTAGAAAGCATTTCCGGACCACACACAAAGCCCTTTTCTCTCTCTCTCTATTTACAATAATGATTTAAGACATTTACAAACTTGGAAAAGCTTCTTCGAATTTCAATTTAGATTTTTCTTTCATTTAGTTTGTTAGCTTTATGCTTGTTTTCGCTTTTCCACTGACGTCTGCTAGAAATTTTCCATTGCATCGAGACAATTGGCAGCCAAGTCAAGTCAAATGAATGCAATTGGCACACATACATGCATACTTGGATGCATTTCCCATCCCCTCTCTCTCTCTCTCTGCACTTGTATATCTCTTATTCGATCAACCTTCCTTTCTTGGCCTGACTCTTTGGGTTCGTTTTTCAAACAATGCCAAGCTGTCAATGCTATTGATTTGAGTGTGCGACTTATGTTTGCCATGTGAACGCCTTTGACGCCCATTGACGCCCCCTTTTTACCCATTTTACCGGCGCCTCTGGTACGTCCTTTGCTCTAACATCTCTGGGTATCCTTACATTCTTGTCTGCGTGTTGCAATCAATGGGTTTTCCTTGGCAAGCGCTTTTCTTCTGCGCCTTTGTTTGCTGCCTTCCCCACTCGCTTCTGATTCTGCCTTTCACTGGTGTTATACCCCCCTTTCCCACACACATACACATGTCACTGCATCCCAAGGCAAAAGTGCAAAGCTAACGCCAAAAAAGAAAAGAAAAACCAAGGCAAGAGAAGCGAAAATTTTCCACTGCACAAACTTTGTTGCCGAGCTTGTTTTACTTAAATTGTA